TGCCAAGTAGAACCTATAGGATAACCTATGATGATGGTTGATTTGATTCTGCTTAAAAACAGAAACTTTGCACGCACGAATATAATTTTGTTAAATCAAAGAAACGTGATTTTTCGTTTATTATTTTTGCTTATGATCAATAAACAAATTGTCCAGGACATCCTATTTTGGTAGGATTTTTAGAGTTCGAGAACTTTGCGTTAGTTACAGATTGCTACAGACTGTTCTGTTTTTGACAGATTCTGTTCTTCGTGTGTTCTTTGCTTATTTCGATGCATCTATGGCCCATAAAATAGTTTATAAACCATAGAGAAGTTGGAATAAATTAGGTTTAACACCAAAATAAATAAAGAATGAGTTAATTACAGTACCTTATGTGGTGGTTTTCTTTTCTTTCACTAACAGAGCTTATAAGATTTCCTGTTGAGTTTTGTGTTGTGAAGTTTTCAAGTTTTGGGTAAAGCTTTTATGGACTATGGAATAAGGAGTGGCAAGAGAATAAGCTTGGGTATTCCCATGGCACCCCAAGATATTCAATAATATCCAAAAGCCTAAGCTTGGGGATGCCCCGGGAAGGCATCCCCTCTTTCTTCTTCGTTCATTGGTAACTTTACTTGGAGCTATATTTTTATTCGCCACATGATATGTGTTTTGCTTGGAGCGTCATGTATTATATTAGTCTTTGCTTTTTAGATTACCACAATCATCCTTGCTTTACACACCTATTGGGAGAAGCCTATTTGATTAGAATTTGCTAGAATACTCTATGTTCTTCACTTATATCTTTTGAGCTTGATAGTTTTTGCTCTAGTGCTTCACTTATATCTTTTAGAGCATGGTGGTGTCTTAATTTTGAAGAAATTATTAGTATCTCATGCTTCACTTATATTATTTTAGAGTCTTTTAGAACAGCATGGTATTTTCTATGGTTATAAAATTGGTCCTAGAATGATAGGCATCAAAGTTGGGTATAATAAAAACTATCATAGGAAGTGAATTGGATGCTATGATCAATTTGATACTTGATAATTGTTTTGAGATATGGAGGTAGTGATATTAAAGTCATGCTAGTTGGGTGATTATGAATTTAAATAATGCTTGTGTTGAAGTTAGCAAGTCCCGTAGCATGCACGTATGGTTAAAGTTGTGTAACAAATTTGAAACATGAAGTGTACCTGGCTTGTGCATCCTTATGAGTGGCGGTCGGGGACGAGCGATGGTCTTTTCCTACCAATCTATCCCCCTAGGAGCATGCACGTAGTACTTGATTTTTGCTGACTTCTAAATTTTTGCAATAATTATATGAGTTCTTTTTACTAATGTTCAGTCCATGGATTATACACACTTTTACCTTTCCACCACTGCTAGCCTCTTCGGTACCATGCATTGCCCTTTCTCACCTTGAGAGTTGGTGCAAACTTCGCCGGTGCATCCAAACCCCGTGATACGATACGCTCTATCACACATAAACCTCCTTATATCTTCCTCAAAACAGACACCATACCTACTGATAGAGGCAAAGGTGTCCCGTCTTTCGATGAGATGATGGATATCGCTTTGGTGGAAGTCGACTTTGACGATCCGACTACGAACGTGCGAGGATGTCGCGCCTTAGCAATCGCTAAACCAACTCCGAGAGGTTATTGACCACGCCGGAGCATGATCAACCTGACCACGAGGGTCTGTTTCCTGCGAGCAAATGAAGAACAAGCAAGAAACTGAGATTGCAATCTGGATATTGCGAATATAAGATGAAACCTTTATTGATCAACGTGGGGTTCTATGACGCCTTTGTCTGGTCGTTGAACACAAACGAAGTACGCGAAGTTGCAGCTATGGCGAACTTTAATCTAAACAAAATCGAAAGTCTAAACGATGCCCTAAGGGCTGTATATATGGAGGAAGAGGGGGGAATTTCGTGGCCCTTGGTGGAGGGGTCCGAAGTCAACCCTATCTCTTGTTTCCCCACACATACGGACTCTAAAAATAGCCTATACTTATGTATTTCAAAATTACATGGGCATGGCCCAATAATAAGGTGACTCAGCACCTAGAATAGCCTGGGGACGAAATTTATGAAGTGGCATCTTGTATATTTCGTCCAATGCTTCATGCACCCATTATGGTGGCTTCAAAGTCCTGAAATCATCACTTGTAACTCCATTCTTGTTCCCCTTGCGCATGCCATCATCTCCATGCTTGTTCTTGCTCCAATGTTCATCCTTCTCCAAGCTAGGCCCTTCATTTGTAAGCAAAACAAATGTATCCAATTTAGGCAGCATCATATTCTCATGAATATTAGAATCATTACCAAGAAACAAAAGTACCTGGTAATTTAGTTGGCGTGCGCGAGCTCTAGTAATTGGTCCAGTATGTATAGCAGCAGGGGCTGTGGGTGTAACAATTGTATTGATGTCCTCATCATCCTCCCCTTCTTGAAATGAAGTCGTGCTCGACGGAAGTTCATCTTCCTCACCCAAATAAGGCTTCAAATCTGCAATGTTAAAAGTGAGACTAACTCCAAAATCTGCAGGTAGCTCAAGTTTATATACATTATCATTTATTTTCCCCAACACCTTAAAAGGGACCATCAGCACATGGCATTAGCTTTGATTTGTGCAAATCAGGAAATCTATCCTGACGCAAATGTAACCAAACAAGATCTCCAGGTGCAAACACAACATGTTTTCTACCCTTATCTCCAGCAAGTTTATATTTAGCATTCATACGCTCAATGTTTTCCTTAGTTAACTCATGCATTTTTAAAATCAATTCAGCATGTTGTTGATAAGTATATTTCACATATATAATTTTGGTACTCAAATATAGCATCTATCATGACATATTCGTCCATTCTTGCCATGATTGATTGAATATTGCTTGATAATCATCAAAAAGGATCATTTACTAGTCTTTGGTCTATCTTGCAGAAATGTGCGCAAAGGCACTAATAATCGTCAAGATTCCCTCTATGTGGCTATCGAGAAGAGTGAAGAAGAGAAGAGAAGGAAGAAGAGACTTGTGTGAGATGAAGAGAAGTAACCAGGGGGCTAGATAAAGAAGTGGGAGGACCTTCTTGTGAAGAAAGAAGAGAAGAAAGAGGGCCAAATCACAAAGTGCAGATGAGAGGAGGGGAACAAAATCCCTAGGCGCTGGAGGGATCCGATCGGGCCTGGCATATCTCTCTCTACTCTCTTCCTCATCCCCTCCTTCTCCACCTTCGGCCGTCGCCACAGCCAGGCCGGCGTGGGGCGCACCACCAGCTCCACCAGCGCCATCCCTCCACTTCGCCGTCGCACATCACCTGCACCACCATCACACGACCACTCCACCACCAGCGCCATACATCACCAGCACAGCCAGCATCCAGCACCTCCATCACCTCCATCGCCACACCTCGCGCGCCAGATCAGACTGGTGTCTGATCCCCCGTGCCCCCAACTGCTGCCACCTCATCTCTGCTTCTTTCTTCTCCGTCCATCTTGCTGCTCCTCTCTTTTTACTGAACCTGCTATTGCTTCTTCCCCAAATCCTGCTGCTCTCTACCTCTCTCCTTGCGCCCCTTCTTCTCGAACTGCTGCTGCTCTTCTCAACGCCCTGCTGTTTCTCTCCTTCCCTTTGCCTCACTGCTCTTGCTCCTCCTCTCAAAGTCTTCTTGCTGCTGCTTATTCTCCCTCTCTCTATTCTCTAATTTTCTGTAATCTTGAGTAATGTAATGTTCAGTACTTTGAAATGTTCAGAATTGAGACGTGTAGCACTTGTAAGGTTCAAATTTTGATAAGTGTTTGCGACCAACTAGTTTGTTCAGCTCGTACTTGTTAAATATCATGTCATAAATTCTATGTTCTGAATAGTGGATTTCTTGTTGCTTTGGGAACTAACTAATATGTAATATTTTGTTACTTTGGTAATTAGTGTTCTATGAGCATATATGTGTGTTCACCCTGTGTATTTCTTCTCGCTATACTAGTTAATTTCTGTCAGTAATTTTTAGTTGTTAAATACTATTGTGTTGATTTGGGGGTACTAATTTTGTGGCTTGTAACATTTCATTTCTGTTGTCACTTGTGTAACCTGAACCGTGGTGTAGTATCCTGTTCGCAAATGTGTGATTTTGTGTGTTCTGTAGTCCCTTTATCAGCTATGTACTTGTGATATATGAATGTGCGTGTGTGTGTTTGATTTGAAACAATTATATTCTGTCATTTATTGTCGCTTCTTCCCACTGTTATATGTTTGATACTCATGTGTCCTCGTCTTGTAGCTTTACTTGATATTGACTCCTGTTTGTGTAAGTATTTTAATTCCTCAAATAAAATAAAATACCAAAAAGACAGTGAGTAAAATCTGAACCTCCCTTTGCTATTTTTCATTTACTTTGTCTGTTGATTTTTTCTGGAACTATCTTAGATAGCTTAGGTTTATTTTCCCTGTAATCGTCACTTAAATTGTCGAGCCTAGCTTTAGCCAAGCATCATCGCTGATCATTTAGTCCCTATGGAGAACACGACATCCGTAGTTTGGGCAAATATTCCACAACATTTACAACAGATTATTTTGGCGCTGTTGCCGGGGATTAGCGTCGAGTGATCGTGTTAGACTATAGACTAGGTTTTTCTTGTTTTCATTTTGTGCCATATATTTGTGATATATCTCTAGCCACTAACCCCTGTTTTAGTTAGTATCTTTTTGTCTTCTTTTCCTTTTTTTGCAGGTTGGATTATCCTCTCGGAAATGGCATTCCATTCAGATCATCAGGCTTATGCGAGCAACACTACAAACATCACGGAAAGTATTCAAGAATTGATACGTAAAATTTCCCATCAATTAGATTTTTAGCTCGGCAGCAAGAAGTAGCTTTTGAGGATAGGCCTGGCTCTTATGATCCTTATTCTAGAGGCCATCCTTATGTTGCTCCTACCTGCCATATTTGTGCATTTCAAGGCCATTCGCCCACTGAATGTCAGCGTGGTTACTCCCATCCTCCGGATTGTTTTGGCATGAGCTTCGCTCAACAGCATAGCTCATACCAAAACAATTACTCACATGAGTGGCCTGAAAACCCGAATATGTCATATAGGAGAAACAACCCTGAGATCTCATTGTTTGCCTCTAGTTATCCATTGCAGGGATTCAGGTACAATGAGGAGAACCACAACTATGCTCCACAACAGTCTTATTCAGCTCCTATTCATATACCTCTACACCAGGAGATGTGTCCAATGGAGTTAAATGGTCCTCCATTTGGTCAACCAACAACTTCAGCACCTAATGAGTCGGTAGAGCAATCTCATGTGCAAGTGCCCACACAAGATGAGTTCGATGACATAGACAAACTCACACTTTTGAGTCTCGAGTTCACTTGGAGTGCCGAGGATGATCCTATTAGGAAGGTTATACTTGAGGAAATGAAGAAGATCAAGAGTGGAAAAGAGCTAGTGGAAGAAGTAAGGAAGATTGAGAAGAACATCAACTCTGGCAGCACTATTTCTTCACAGTTAGAGCTGAGTAATTCTGGGATTCCCCTTGATACACATGAGGTTCCAATACCGTCACATCCAGTTGAGCAAGATAGCAAGTACCTTGAGCAAGAGATACCTCGGATTGAAGAAGATGAACTAGAAGACAAGGAACAAGATGATCAAGAGCTGCAATTCCCAAGTGATCAAGTTGAAGACTTGTCATCTACTACTCCTGAAGAAGTAAAAGAAGCTGCTGTAGATGAAGATGAAGAACCTGAGATTCATTGGCCTATTGTATTACATGAGCGTGATGTGTCAGGTTTTCCCAATCCTCTTGATGACATGCTCCCTTATGATTTCGTTGCTTCTACCTTGCATTACATGATACCATCACTTAAGATTGATTTGAAAACTCATTTGCTTGGATATGATTATATATACCATGTTAGTGGCATTACTCTCATTTGTGATGATCATAGTTACTTTCCTCGTGCTAGTCCTATGCTTAATGAAACATATCATTCCCATGCTAGTCTTGAGCTTAATGATAAATATCATCCTCATGTTAGTGTTGACCTTGCTGATTTCTACCATCCTAAACATGTGCTTTATAGCTATGGTTATGTAATTGGATATTCGATTGATGACTTGGAGGGTATTATCCCTACCACTTGCATTGTCTCTTTCATTGAGTGCTCTTTCAGGTTCTTGCTTGTGCACGATCCACTACACGCTGACCAAGTTCGAGATGACATTCCCCGGGACCCCGGTGGACCTATGGCATGGGGATGAGGAGAAGCAAGGAGCACACATGAAGAGAGAAGCTGGAGCAGGCATGAGGATAGAGAAGCAAAAAGAGCAGGCATGATACGACCGATCCCAAAGGAAGCAAAAGGAGAGGAGTCGCAATGCACGAGGATGTGAGAGTGATCGAGCGAGACCTACATCATATAAGCCCGGTGAGCTATTTCATGACCCCAATCTGAATACTATCATACATTATACATGCTGTAATCAACTGCTATTTGGGTCGCTTGAGCAATTTCTTAAATATCGTCCCACTGAATTTTACCTTCGACATAGGGTGATTGATGTGAATATGTGAACTGAGTGTTGAATGCCTTGTAAACTAGTGATCTATACAATGTTTGCTTTGCTAAAAGTAGTGGAAGCTATTAGTTTTGAGTGCTCAAATCCTTAGTACACTAGAAAACTTAATCATTTTCTGCATTCACTATGATACACCTAGATCATCAAGTGTGAGATGTTGAGTTTGTGCCTAATGTGTTCACATTGAGAGCAATCACCTAACCACTATGGATTAGCATGCTATGTTCCCTGGATCAGTAGCATGTGAACCAGACATGGAGAAGTGATGATTCCTATTTTTGTGCTTATGCGTTGTTCATTTAAGATAAGTAATAGTGAATAAATAAGTCTGGCTACCTACAGTAGCATGTCATGTTCCCGGGATCGGTGGCATGTGAAATCGGATTAGCTTGGGCAGTAATTAATAATAATAAAAATGTAATTGTCGAACCAGGTGTATACCATGTTCTCGGGATCGGTGGTATGTTCCTTTGGGGAGACAAACAAGAAAATTAATAAAAATTGGTTGAGCCAGGTGTATACAATGTTCTCGGGATCGGTGGTATGTTCCTTCGGTGAGACTAATAAAATAATATGTGTGTTTCTTTCAAATTCAATAAGTGGTTCAACCACAAAGTAATATTTCTGCAAATAAGAGATTTAATTCTAGTTCTTTTTGTTCTCGGGATCATGCTCTCTTTAGGAACCATTTGGCGAAGTCATCATTTAAACTTGTTGATCCTTTTTTATCACTTTAAAAGTTTAAAATGGTCATGCTTACTAGTATCCTACTGCTTTGTAGCACTCCTAACAATTAATTTTCACTAGCTCAGTATGAAGCATGCCTTGTTTGGAGATCTATTTTACCAGGACATTCCTTACTCAGTTTACTGTTCAATATCTTGCCTTTGTCATATTCGTTTGCTTGAGGACAAGCAAAGATTTAAGTGTGGGGGAACTTGATAAGTATATTTCACATATATAATTTTGGTACTCAAATATAGCATCTATCGTGACATATTCGTCCATTCTTGCCATGATTGATTGAATATTGCTTGATAATCATCAAAAAGGATCATTTACTAGTCTTTGGTCTATCTTGCAGAAATGTGCGCAAAGGCACTAATAATCGTCAAGATTCCGTCTATGTGGCTATCGAGAAGAGTGCAGAAGAGAAGAGAAGGAAGAAGAGACTTGTGTGAGATGAAGGGAAGTAACCAGGGGGCTAGATAAAGAAGTGGGAGTACCTTCTTGTGAAGAAAGAAGAGAAGAAAGAGGGCCAAATCACAAAGTGCAGATGAGAGGAGGGGAACAAAATCCCTAGGTGCTGGAGGGATCCGATCGGGCCTGGCATATCTCTCTCTACTCTCTTCCTCATCTCCTCCTTCTCCACCTTCGGCCGTCGCCACAGCCAGGCCGGCATGGGGCGCGCCACCAGCTCCACCAGCGCCATCCCTCCACTTCGCCGTCGCACATCACCTGCACCACCATCACACGACCACGCCACCACCAGCGCCATCCATCACCAGCACAGCCAGCATCCAGCACCTCCATCACCTCCATCGCCACACCTCGCGCGCCAGATCAGACTGGTGTCTGATCCCCCGTGCCCCCAACTGCTGCCACCTCATCTCTGCTTCTTTCTTCTCCGTCCATCTCGCTGCTCCTCTCCTTTTACTGAACCTGCTATTGCTTCTTCCCCAAATCCTGCTGCTCTCTACCTCTCTCCTTGCGCCCCTTCTTCTCGAACTGCTGCTGCTCTTCTCAACGCCCTGCTGTTTCACTCCTTCCCTTTGCCTCACTGCTCTTGCTCCTCCTCTCAAAGTCTTCTTGCTGCTGCTTCTTCTCCCTCTCTCTATTCTCTAATTTTCTGTAATCTTGAGTAATGTAATGTTCAGTACTTTGAAATGTTCAAAATTGAGACGTGTAGCACTTGTAAGGTTCAGATTTTGAGAAGTGTTTGCGACCAACTAGTTTGTTCAGTTCGTACTTGTTAAATATCATGTCATAAATTCTATGTTCTGAATAGTTGATTTCTTGTTGCTCTGGGAACTAACTAATATGTAATATTTTGTTACTTTGGTAATTAGTGTTCTGTGAGCATAGATGTGTGTTCACCCTATGTATTTCTTCTTGCTATACTCGTTAATTTCTATCAGTAATTTTTAGTTGTTAAATACTATTGTGTTGATTTGGGGGTACTAATCTTGTGGCTTGTAACATTTTGTTTCTATTGTCACTTGTGTAACCTGAACCGTGGTGTAGTATCCTGTTCGCAAATGTGTGGTTTTGTGTGTTCTGTAGTCCCTGTATCAGCTATGTACTTGTGATATATGAATGTGCGTGTGTGTGTTTGATTTGAAACAATTATATTCTGTCATTTATTGTCGCTTCTTCCCACTGTTATATGTTTGATACTCATGTGTCCTCGTCTTGTAGCTTTACTTGATATTGACTCCTGTTTGTGTAAGTATTTTAATTCCTCAAATAAAATAAAATACCAAAAAGACAGTGAGTAAAATCTGAACCTCCCTTTGCTATTTTTCATTTACTTTGTCTGTTGATTTTTTCTGGAACCGTCTTAGATAGCTTAGGTTTATTTTCCCTGTAATCATCACTTAAATTGTCTAGCCTAGCTTTAGCCAAGCATCATCGCTGATCATTTAGTCCCTGTGGAGAACACGACATCCGTAGTTTGGGCAAATATTCCACTACATTTACAATAGATTAGTTGTTTAGCATCAAAATTAACCTTCTCCGAAGATGGAAGAGGCAACAAATCAATAGGTGCACGAGGTAGGAAACCATACACAACTTCAAAAGGGCACATCTTAGTAGTAGAATGCAATGAACGATTATAAGCAAATTCAATATGAGGCAAGCATTCCTCCCACATTTTCTTATTATTTTTCAAAACAGCCCTAAGCATAGTAGACAATGTTCTATTGACTACTTTAGTTTGTCCATCAGTTTGGGGGTGACAAGTAGTACTAAAAAGCAGTTTAGTCCCCAACTTAGCCCATAAACATCTCCCAAAGTGGCTAAGAAATTTAGTATCACGATCTGAAACAATAGTATTTGGCACACCATGGAAGCGAATAATTTCACGAAAGAACAAATCAGCAACATTAACAGCATCATCGCTTTTATGACATGGTATAAAGTGTGCCATTTTCGAGAATCTATCCACGACAAAAAATATGCTATCCCTCCCCTTCTTTGTTCGAGGTAAACCTAAAACAAATTCCATAGATATATCCTCCCAAGGAACACTAGGTACATGCAAAGGTATATATAAACCATGAGGATTGAGTCGTGACTTAGCTTTTTGACATGTAGTGCAGCGACCAATAAAACGCTCAACATCCCGTCTCATCTTTGGCCAAAAGAAATGTGTAGCAAGTACGTCCTCCGTATTCTTCACGCCAAAGTGTCCCATTAATCCTCCTCCATGCGCCTCCTACAACAACAAAAGACGAACAGAGCTAGCCGGAATGCATAGCTTGTTAGCACGAAACACAAATCCATCATTAACGACGAACTTGTTCCACATTCTTCCTTCTTTACAATTCTGCATTACATCTTTAAAATCAGCATCATGCACATATTGATCTTTGATAGTCTCCAAACCAAATATTTTGAAGTCAAGTTGTGAAAGCATAGTATAGCGACGAGACAAAGCATCAGCAATAACATTTTCTTTTCCCTTCTTGTGTTTAATGACATAAGGGAAAGTCTCAATGAATTCAACCCACTTAGCATGTCTACGATTCAGTTTAGCTTGACTTTTAATATGTTTCAAAGATTCATGATCAGAATGTATAACTAATTCTTTGGGCCATAAATAATGTTGCCATGTTTCTAAAGTCCGAAGAAGAGCATATAATTCTTTATCATAAGTAGAATAATTCAGACTAGGCCCACTCAATTTCAAAAAAATATGCAATAGGTTTACCATCTTGTAATAACACACCTCCTAATCCAATTCCACTAGCATCACATTCAAGCTCAAAAGTCTTATTAAAATCAGGAAGTTGGAGTAAAGGAGCATGTGTCAACTTATCTTTCAATACCGTGAAGGCTTCTTCCAGTGCGGTACCCCAAAGAAAAGGCACATCTTTCTTTGTAAGCTCATTGAGAGGTGCAGCAATGGTGCTGAAATCTCTCACAAAACGCCTATAGAATATAGCGAGGCCAAGAAAACTCCTCACTTGTGTGACCGTTTTGGGCTGCGGCCAACTCTCAATAGCTTCAATCTTGGCTTTATCAACTTCAATTCCCTGTGGAGTAACAACATAACCAAGAAAAGATACTCGGTCGTTGCAAAAGGTGCACTTCCCAAGGTTACCAAACAAACGTGCATCACGTAGAGCAATAAAAACAACACGTAAATGTTCCAAATGTTCTT